TCCTTCTCTCGTGCTGCTCAAATGGTTTCTATTTCAGGCTGACAGCCTTGTAGTCAATCACACCAGCTAGAAATCTCTTCCTAGAGCAGCTTTGGAAATGCAGATACTAGAGCTCCACATGTACTGCCAATTTTTTTCTTCCCCTTAATATCAAAATAGTAGTGTATTTGGTTGGGATTCAATACCCGTTTTTAAATGCTGCTTTTTTCAAACTTTACTTTTCCCCCTCATTGTAATGGCTATTGGTATTAATCAGCCACTCTTAACAGTTCTTCGATATCTACAGAATGAGTTATTTCTAATGGCAGCACTTCCCAGCTTATCAGTTCTATCAGAAAGCAGCAATGGCCATTTTGCCTTTTGCTCCCACACAGATAAAAAAGTTCACACAAATAAAAATATTTTTATTATTAAGAACAACAATAATAATCTTCTTACAGTCTGTAAGTCATGTCTACAGATTCCTTCACTTTCAAGTCTCAACTTTCAAATCAATTTTGAGGGGTTTTTTTTGTTTGTTTTAAGCATCTGAAAACATGCAACCTTTTTGCTTTGCAGGTTTTTACTACGGGATCAGATAAGAAAACTTTTTGATCAGTCAAAACATAATGTCAAAGTGCCAGGACAATAAGCCATTAATACACAAAGGAATACTTTTCTATTACCAGGGTCTTCAACAGTAGATCATGTTAAGAAAATGCTAAGGAAAAGATTAATTGCACCTTCAGTGCAATTGCTTTAAGAACTCAATAAAATTTCAAGTGTTTCTTTCACCTTTCATTGTTTATAGATCATAAATAAAGATGGTAGTATATTAATTCCAAAATCTGTGGCCAGATTGTCAGCTATGAGAATGCATTCAACTCTGTTTTCAGCATTTTCACTGACTGAGAATACGGTCAATATCTGGGGAAAAAAAACAGTGGAATTAGTGTAAACAAAATCATATCTCTGATGAGCAGGACAAGCATTGGATGCTGATGCTGCAGGCTACTCAAGGATGTTTAATTGCATTCATGAACTATTTGTAAGACAGTGAGCTGCCAAAACCTCACACATTTCCAACATGGTAATTCTGGAATGGCTGTAGTATATAGGAAAAAACAGATGTCATAATGTGTTTCATCTAGTTTAAAACTTAACATGTAATTAACTTAATAGCTTGACAATAGCTGATGTAGCAACAAATATAATGCAATTAAATTCATACCTCATTATGATATAAATGTCTTCTACATATGCATTACAAAAAAGATCAGAATTTGAGACACTGGTATATTTAATGGTGACTAATTGTCCTTAAAATGCAATTGCATGTAATACTTGCTTTGTATTTCATCACTTGTGAAAATGATTTTATTTCTGTAACACTGTACTTCCTGTAGTCCTTTTATTACACCACAAGTGAAAGCTATTCCTTGGTGTATGGTTTCAAATGCTGTATCTAGGTACTTGGACCTTAACATTCATTATGTAGTGTAACATTTTCATTTTTTAAATATTTTTTAACTGCTTGGCAGTTTGTCCAAATGGCTACAGACAATTATCAAGGTTCATTATAATTTTCTCTAAGTTCTTTTTATAATAGACCTCAGGTAGTCTGTTATAGGCACACAGCACCATGTTGAGACAGAGTCCTGTTCATGTATTCCTTTGGGCTGTCCAAGGGTTTCTCAAGGTATTATTATGGTTTCTCAATTGTCAGAGTGCTGCAGGACGAAAAAGGGTAAGAGTAACACTGAAGCCAAATAATTTTTTAAAAAATAGAATCGTAAAGAAATACCAACAATGAGCCCAGACACTTGTTACAGAACAGCACTGCCTGACCTGCAGTTTCTGTGAGTTTCCTACATGCAGTTTCTGTTCAAAGAAAACAAAAATACATTTTGAGGTTATAGTGATCAAGTTGTATTGAATAGAAAATAAATTTACTTTGAATTATGTAATTGATTTTTCAAATGACTCAGATCTTCCAAGCTCACTGTGCTAATGTGCTCCTATTAAAGATACTGAAACCTCTTTGAGAGGAGTCTGAAAGGAAAAGGGCTGAACTGTGGCCCAATGAAAGCCCCACTAAAATTCAATGTCACATTCCATCCACTGCAGTAGATGAGGTCCTTGATGGTGATTACAGAGTGGTCCTCTGATTCTGTGGGTGTGTAGAGCTTGGTTTTTCACTGCACAGGGATATTATTAGGAAATAGGGATCAGTAAAAAGGAATCTGAAACCTGATCTAGTGCTGAGGAATGCCTTTTGAATGTGTCATTTGAACCGAGTTATTACTTCTGGGAGGTGTGAATGTCTTTGCTTAAAACCTGAAATGGATCCTGAAAAGAAGTAAAAAAGTTAGGCAAGTCTTCACAGAATTAAGAATAGTCTCAAAGAGATAAATATAAGTTTGAATCTGTGCATCAAGATTTCAAATAAAACTCATAATGAGTCTGTTGGATATTCCCTGTTTCAGCTTACATTAACATCCATTTTCTAGATTTTAAAAACACATTATAAGTTTATGTATATATTTAGATCCTGTACATTTAAATGATCTTTTAAGTTCTTGGACTATGTATATTCCCTTGCAAATGGTACTGTAGCTGTTTCTAAAATGCTGAATTGGCATATTCAGTTTTTATCAAGCATTTCATATGAACTGTGAACAAGAGGGTTGTCTACTGATTGGTTATCATGACTTTCAAAGCTAACTGATACATAATCCCTGCTCAGGGAAAATCAGGGGATTTTTATTGCACCTACAAGGAAATTTTAGGGAATATTATAAACTGACTGATTTTAAGGAAGAAAGAGAAGGCTGACAATAAAATGCTTACAAGCTGTGGCTATCTAATGTGGAACTGCTGTGCAATTTCTCCTTCAGTAGGTTACTTAAGTGAAAAAATTATATATTATGAAATGGATACATTTTTAAACATTTATTGGAGACCCTCTCAGCAGGGATCACAATGCAAAAGGGAAACGGTGCTACTTGCTGAGGCTGACAGCTAAGGCACAAGTCCATCAGTCACTCAGTTCCGGTTTAGCATTCTTTTCAACACACATCATTTAGCCTTCATTTTCCAAACAAGTGCTGTCACCTACAATGCACACCCACATAGTTGTTCTCAGGGTGAAGGTTGTCACACAGAGGCAAACAGGGTTCCCATAGAAAACTTCCATCTTTGACAGCAATTCAGAAAGCAAAACCCACATGATCTATCCCCACAGCTTTTTGGAGGAAAAGTTCATTAGCTGCTTTGCATGCCAAGGGACCAGCTGTCCTTCAGCACATGGAGCTACTCTGATTGACCAGGAGGACAAGTGGGAAATAAGCTCACAGCAGTGCCAGCACGGCATATGGTCATGTCCCAGCTGTTTCTGAAATGCTTGCCAAATGGAGATCAGAACTGGGTTGGTTGTTAGGAAAATAAAAACCCAACAAAACCCCACAAACAAACAAAAAAGTTCTACTGTCGGGATTCCTGAGATCTGGCCACAAAACCAGAACTGTCAATTTGAAATGTCACAAAGCACCTATGTGAATATTCTGTCATTGAATAATCAGTCACTGGCCTCCATGCTCTGACTTGCTCCATTAGGACAACACCAACATTCTGAGCATCTGTTCCTGCTATAAATCTTCAGAGAAAAAAGGTTTAGAAAGGGTGAAATACAGTAAGTGGATTTGTATTGATGATATACATAACTAATACATTAAGGATATGTGCAGAGTACTGTATAGAGATTGATTTAAATTGGTGCCAATTGTTACTACAGACAGATCCCAGATGCCTCATTTTTAGTGTATATTATTCTACCTTGAAAAGGGGAATTCAAATACAGAGCTCCTGAACAACAGCAGATTTGATTGTGATTGGCACGAGTTGTGTTACAGCAGTGGTGAAATGCTTCTGATAAACCCGGGGAATGACTCAGCAGAAAACAGTCAGCAGGATTTTTTCCCCAAAGCTTTTCAGTTTCAGCTTTTCATAACAAGAAAATAACTTGAACAGTAATTAAATAGTTCAGAGAACAAGTCTGTCCTTTTATCACACAGTTTAAAGCACTACTTTCTCTTTAGATTTCTCCCACAATGCTCCTGCAAGGTTTGGAGAAAGTAACAGATTAACTGCACGTTCATACGACTCAATTACTGCCTCAGCGACATTTAAAGAGAATGCTGGTAGTTCACGTAGCTACACAATCTTGCATACTTAACTTTTGGCTAGCCTAAGTCAGATTTATGACTAAATTAGGTGCTAAGGATGTTCAAAATTGGCAAACCCTAGCTAAAACAAAAATAAGAATAATGTTGCTCTGTATCAGGAAATGAGTATACAGGCTGGGAGGCAGTGTTTGCATTCATGCTTGTTATGAGATGTATTTTTTATATACAGACTTAACTTGTTGAAAGGCCTAAATGTGGGACCACATCTGGTACTGGGGGATCATGTTTTCAAAGGCAATCTTGGTTCCAGTGACTGAAGATGTGCACAAAAGAAGCAGTGTGAGCCAATATGGATGACATACTGCATTTTGGAACTCTAGAAGCCACAGGTTGAGCAGTGAACAAAAGGAAGAAAACCTCAGGATTACACAGAAAGAATACTTACTTTGACATCTTACATAATATTGACTTTCCTAAGGCCCGTATGTATTCACGCATTTGAGAAATGTGGGGTGGTAGCGTACACCTGAGGAGAGCATCATTATTTTCCCAATTAAGAAGCTTAATGAGTACTTTGGTGTGTCTTGTCATATTTTCAGCCTTACAGTGGCCCATTTTCACCCATTTACTATGCTAAAAATGTTGCCCTTTCATTACTCCACGGTTGTGTAAACAGTTGTGATTAAACTGGCATTTAATCAATTGGAACAAAATCCCCGTGGCTCCCGAGGAGCTCACCTACTAAACCCGACTTTCAATGGTAACAATCTTCCAACAGACGACTTCCCTTCCAGACGGGCTTTCATTGCGCAGTAAAATAAACTTTTATTTGCTAACCTCGCTCTCGGAGTCGTCCAGGATTTCAGAAGGACCCCACATGACAAACACCGCTACGCTCCACCATTATCCCCCGCTCCCTCCCTCGCATTCCTGCGCCGGCCCTGCCGGGGTGTTCCCCCGCCGGCGGCACAGCCCTCCCGAGGGGCGCGGGTGCTTCCGGCTCTCCCGCCGCCCGCCCGGTGCCTTCCAGCGCCTCGCCCGCCGCGTCCCTCCTCAGGCGGGCGGGAGGCTGTACAACCAGGGCAAAGGACACTTCCCCTCCTCCCCCCGCCCTTCCTGCGCCGCGGCCCCGACATGAAGGCGGCTCGCCGGCGCCCGGGCCTTAAGGACGACAGCAGAGATAGGGACAGGGATGGGGGGACTGGACGAACAGACCGGTCCCGTCCTCCCCCGCCTCCCGCCCACCGGCGCGATGGTCGCCAGCCCCCTCGCACCCGCCCGGCACAGCCCCACGGCTCTGGGATCAGGGCCGCCCTCTGGGCGGAGGGATACGGGGCGGAGCCGGCGGCGCGGTCCGCCGGGGCGCTGAGTCCCGTTGCCGGGTGACGGAGCGGCCGGCCCGGCCCCCTCCCTCCCTCCTTCCCTCCCTGTGGCGCTGGAACGGCCGCCGCCGCCGGTTTACGTAACGCCTCCCGGGGCAGGTCCCGGCTCCGTCCCGCCCGCCTCACTCGGGGACGGCAGCAGCGGGACGGAGTCCGCTGCCTCCTCCGGCTGCCAGAGGCCCCAGGGCCCCGCTCTGCGCCACCACGGCAGGTAAATGCCCGCCGCGGGCCCGGGGAGCAGAGGGAGGGGCAGGGCTGAAGGGAGGGAGGGAGAGCGGCAGCCGCCCTGTCCGTGGAACGGACGGAGGACGAAGCCGGGGGGCGACGGCGGGCGCCCTTCCCCTCTCTCGCTTCCTTCCCACCGCTGCGTTGGGACAGGCGGGCTGGACCCCCGGGAGCGCCGGGCCGGTGGCTCGGGGCCCGGCCGGGAAGGCCCGCGCATCCCTGCCCGCTCCGCTAACAGCCCGGCGAGAGGAGGAGTTGCGGGGCCGGGCCTGGTCCCGCCGGGAGGACGGTTTCCCGGGACGGCGCGTCCCGCTCCTGGGCTGCGCCCGGCGCAGGGCGGCGGGAGTGTGCCGGGGGGCGCGGGAGGAAGGGGCCGGGGAGGGGGTGACAGGAGCGCCGGGGGCCGGGCGGGGGGCGGCTGCCGGCCGGCGGCGGGCAGGGCTCGGGGGCGGGGCCGGGGGCCCGGCCGGGGTGCCCCGGTCAGAGCGCTGCCCGGGAGGGGCGCCGAGCCCTCCGCGGCTGCCGCCGACTCCGCGCTCTTCCATCCCGGCGGGACCTGGCGCCAGGTGAGCGGCTTGTGCCGCGGCCGGGAGGGAGGCGTCAGCCTGGAGCTGGAGCAGCGGCTCGGTGCCCTCGGGCTGGGTCACGCCCGGGAGCAGAGGAGGAGAAGGAGAGAGGGAAAGGCGGCACCCAGAACCCACCCGCCGCGGGTGCCGGCCCCCGCCGGTGTCATCCGGCGCCAGCAGACGGCAAAGCGGAGGATGCGGCCGTTCGGGTCGGAGTAGGGAGATCCTGAGCCGGGCAGCGCCTGCCTGCCCCGCCTGACCCCGCGGTTGAGGTGACGGGGTTGCACCGCTGCCGGGCCCGGCTGGTGCTCATGCCGTGACCTTTCATCCTGTGCGGGCGTTCAGAGCGCAGCGGCGGCCGCGCACCGGGGAGGGGGAGCTAGGGACGGGCTGGGGCCGATGGAAACCGCCCCGGCTGAGCCGCGGCGTTACGGCGCTGCCTTGGGGGCCGATCTGGCGGGGCTCGCTCCCTTCTTCTTTTTTTTTTTTTTTTTTTTTTTTTTTTTTTTTTTTTTTTTTTTTAAATTTCCCCTTCAAGCAGCATTGTCCTTTAGGGCCTATTGAAGGCAAAAGGCGGATAGGAAGGCTAGGGCTGCTGTTTGAGGAGGCGGAGCTGGGCTGATGGGAGACTGACGGGAGCCGCATCCTATGGGCGCTGGGAGCCGGGCGCCGCTGGGGCGGGACCGCCGGCCGCGGCCTCTCGCGGGCGATGGGCGGGGTGGGGGACAAGGTTTGGCGAAGGTTACAGCTGAATGCAGAAGTGACACAAACTGACACTTCGCTCCAGCAAACTCCTTTCCCTCTTCTCCTCGTGTCGTCTCGATTAAAAGTATACACGTATTGAATCGTGTTATGAAACTTTGAGAAAAACGAAAGTGCGGTGCTTTTTTTTCTGTCTCGTCTTTGTTTTAATTACTCGTTGCAGTACCTGATACTGATCTGAAGGGTAAAAATGTTTGTTCTTCCTTTCAAATAAAACACATTCCTGTATTCTGGTGTTTTCTGTGTATAAGTGATTTGGGCAGTAATTTATAAGCTTGAGATCGGAGGCCTCTGTGGTATGTGTAGTTGCTTTTCTTCATTCAAACCCTTTAAAATGTTTATGGTTTCTCTTGTACACCATATATTTCTTCTGTATTCCTGGAATGAAGTTGGAATTGCCGATTGACTTTGGTTTCTTAGCTGTCAAAAGTGAACTTGTGATGATTCAGTAGATAATTGTGTAAAACAAAGTACTTCACTGCAGTGCTTAAACCCTAGGTATTTCAAACTCCTCACAATCCATAAAAGTCTGTAATTGACATTTTTCTTTATTATTTAAGACAAAAATATGCCTTACAAAAGTAAATGACATGGAACTTGATAATTACTTGACATGTAACTGTACAGATGTTATTTTGTACTAATCTTCCATCTGCTGTTTCTTGTTAGTATGGATATGCTAAAATGGTAGTATACAATCATTCTAGTCAATAAAGCATACCACATAGGTATCAAAATCTTCTCTTTTCATCATTGAGATATAAGAGGGGGTGTAAGTGACTTGAATAAAATTAGTAGTATGTTATATGTTCATTATGTTATTTATTTTCAAATACTTGACAGTTATAGGGGAAATCCTGAGACAGGACATTAAATGCCTCAGCACCATATATCCCTACCATGTTCTGCTTGACAGATATTAACACGTGTACAGTGACAGAACTTTATCCATCTGTTTGGAGCACCATTGGGATTAAGACCCTTTGAGGCCACGGATTCTGCAAATTTGGATTGAGTATATGACCCTCCAGCTTTACTGCTCATGAGCAGTGGAATTGGAAGGAAAATAAAGGTCAGAGAGATCCATATGACCCAAGAAATAAAAATGGAGGCCCTGAGCTTCTCTTACCTTATTATGCCTGTTTCATGGGCATATTTCAGCATTCCCCACTGCTTTTGTTGTTCCTATTTGTTATTCTTCCAAATAAGAGAAATTCCAGAGGGGTAAAATGATGTCACCAATTTCCTTTGCTCATTTGCTGTGCATTCTAGCAGGAATAGGGTCAGAAGAAGATCTAGATACTGTTCAAAACTTCATTATTTGTTCATCTTGAGCATCTTGTTTCTAGGCAGATGGGGGAATGAAGCAGCCAAGAGGTTGCACAGGTGAATTTTCTTGAAGGCTTTTACTGGGGTTTAGGCATAATGTTGTAGAGTCAGAATGGACGCTTTATATACTTAGCTGGAATCCTAGCAAAATCATGTCTCAGTTTGCTGCTTCTTTAAGCAATAGCTAATAACTAAAAGTGACAATTTAGTATTGTAATAGGATAGGCAACAATGTCTGGTAAAGCAGAATGTGGTGAAGGCAGTAAGACTTAGAATTCCTGTAGAGTTAGCAGGAAATATTCCCATTATCTGCATTGCTAATGGAGCTTGGAATACAAATGATCTTGTAGAAGCTATTTAATATGTTCTGTTTATTTGGATAGTCTGTTTTTAGGATATTCTTCTGTCTCATGGAACAGAGATTGGTATCCTTCATTTTTGTCCAAGAAAAGTGACAGGCTGGTTGGATAATTTGTAAATGGAATTGCAGAAATAAGTTGTGTTGTCCATCCCCATAGTCCTCCCCCAGGAATTTTTTTTCAACTAATGTCAATCACATGTTACAAAAGAAAAATGTTCAAATGAGTATTGATGTGCTCAGTGATGTTTCAATACACAGACAAAAGGAAAATTGTCTGATTGGAAGGAAAATTAAGTTTTTTTGTTAATTTGGAAATAGTTTACTAGATTTTTCTAATCAGAAGTACTACATAACTGCAGGAATGTCAGAATGTTTTAGTAGAAAAATATCTAGATGGGCTAGTTATAATATTTTTACTAGAAAGCATCTTGCTCTACTTTCCTGAAGTTGTCTGTTTGTTTTTAATAGATATTAAGAGATTGAATGAGTATTTTATTGGCCCATAGAGGTGGTTGGGGATGAGGGGAAGGGTTCAGTCATTTAAACATTCAGTACAAAGATTATTCTTTCACAGACATCTTACTAGCAGCTATTTCTGTAGCTTTATTGGAAGCTACTGAGTATTTAAATTTTTTAATTATCTACTTCCTTTATAATTTCATATGCAGGATGTTTGGATCTACCTGCATAATACTATACATTGTTTGTTTTGTTTCTGCATCTAAATTCTGTTCATAACTTTGATACCAAAGAGGACATATGGAACCTGTCTTTCCAAGAGACTAATTTCTGAGGCAGTAGTGTGGAAATTTAAATAATGAAGTATTTAAATTAATTTTTCACTCTTGTGATATTATATGTAATATTTTAATTTTTTTAGTGTGGAAATATAAATTAGGATGTATTTAAATTCTTTTTTTTTGGTTCTGATATTACATGTAATTTTAATTATATCCTGTTAAGTCTGTGCTCAGGCTTGCTGTAGTGATTTTCATTTTTAATACAATTTGGGGAATGTTTTAAATTTCTGGGTTATGCTGTATTGAGGAAGAAATTTCAAATATGCAGTCTATGCTAATGTTACTTGTGGCTGTAACTTTCTAGGCCTTATTCTAGAAAGGATTGCATGTGAAAATTTATACTCTGTGCAAAAAGGTTTGGTAACAAATAAAAATAAGTTGTAACAGGGATGAAATATGAATCATTTTGTGGAGTTTTTACAGCTTTTAAAAATCTTCCTCTAGTTACTATTTGATTTACCAGAGGAATAAGGTCTGCTGGATAGAGTGTTGGGCTAGGATTGGGAAAAGAGACCTACATGAAGTTTTCTATCAGCTGTACCACTGAGTGAATTCAAGTGAAATTTCATTTTCATGTGCTTGAGTTTAAGGTGCTGTATGGAAAGGAGTAGCTGTTATCCCTTTTGTAGGTTGTTAAATTGTGTGAGTTTGTTTTTTATGGTTTGTTTTTATGGTTTGGTTGTAGAAGAATTCTGAAGGCAGACATGGTTGCCTTGCTGATGAGATTTTGCGTCTATAGACTGTGGAAGAAAGTACAGAGAGAGATAAGGGAGTAAGAGGCTGTGGGTAAGCTGAAGGCCAGAAAAAATAAAGCAACCTGACATAAGATGGCACAGCTTTAACATCAGAGCAGCAGAGCGGAGTTGCAAGATCTGTATCCTCTGCAGGGTTATTCCAGGTAGTGTTAGCATAGTCAGGACTTAGATTGAGATAATAATCATCAACAGTAAAATGGGAAAACATGCTAAAATACAGATTGATTCAAGATTTTTTTTTTTTTTGATTTAGCATGTCGTATGCACTTTTTAAGAAAACAGTGTGTTTTATTAGCCTAAAGGAAAAGGTCTGCTTGAAGAATCACTAATGAAGAAACCAGTAATGCATATTGCTGCCACTGGATGAGTAATTAATTCTCACTAGATCCTTGAAACACTGTAATGTGTTATTATGAACTTGAACCAAAATTGAAGACTGCCTGAGTGGATGTGCAACTTTAAATATTGCATTGTATTTAGGACACTGGGATATCCTGAAGAAATGGAGCCAGCTTCCAGTTATTTGTTGGGTTCATATCTTTACTTTTAAAAGTACTTTTAAAACTACTGTTTCATGATATTTGATTCTGCTCTCTGAAGATTTTGAGCTAATTACTGCTACTAATTAGCTAAAGACTACTGTTCAGTAAATTCCTCTTCTGGCTGTTTTCTGGGTTAGAAGTTCAATCCACTGCATTTGACAGCGAAACTGAATTACCTTAGTAATTTTTGTTTTATTGATGTTTTTATAGCGGTCTTGATGGAAGTCATGTTGAATTGTGTGAGGTGACACCAAAGTTTTAAAATGCCTCTGTAAGTTCAGGTATTAGTTTATGATATATAGATTATTTTTTCACCAGCCTCTTTGAACTGAATATCTTACTGACTTCAGAGAAACCTCAGAGTTCCAGTTTTTAGTAACTTTGTTCTTGAATTGTGAAAGAAATGCCTTGGTTAACAGTACAGTAACTTCCTTTAAGAGAATTAATGTAATGCTGACCTGCTGTTTTTGTAAGAGGTTTTCTGGTTGTCTTTTAGTAAAATGACCTATTCAACTGTCATTTGAAGTATCAGCTGTCATTGTTGTATCAAGCAACAAATGTATTATTTTAAGAACAATATTAAATTTTCCTATTTATTCCATTATTAATTTTTTTTAATAAATAGTGTTTTTAAACAACATACTTAATCATAAAAGTGGAGATATGGTAACAAATATCATCACTATTTTAATGGAAAAAGACAGTCTGGCAGCCTTCCAACATAAACTGAACAATAAATGCCTATACAAATTCATGGAAATGCT